TGGGTTTTTTTTCTTCATCAAAAATTTTTGGCCTTTTTTTGTTTATTAGCGTTAAAAAAAAACAAGAAACGCACAGGCTGATCAAATACCACCGAAAGAAAAGGCTCCTATTATGTTGTGAAAAAAAGACGTATACTTTCGTTTGGTGCAGCCATTAGCAATGACGCAGGCAAATTATCAGTTTGACTTAGTGCAAGGCGCCGAGTAGCAAAAAGAGGCGTGGTCATTAAGAGGGGGTAAATCCTCTGGAGGTCAAGTGGTTAAAAGGAAAACATTAACACGATTGAGTAAAATGCCATCGCGGGCCTAATAATTAACACTTCACAACTTTAATACACAAAAACATATCCTTAAAACAGGAACACAACAGGGTCAAAGTTGTTGGTCTTCGAAGGCACCAGAACAGAAACCGATAGCCCACCCTTCAGCTAACCCAAATCTTACCACTAGGCACTTCCAGCCTGCACGGTCACCGATGGCTCGGAGAAAAACATACCACCCGCAGTGCAGAACCCACCACCTTCCCAGTAAACCTCGGTTAACCCGGAATGCCCCCCGGCACACCATACCAACGATGGGTCCCCAAAAAAGGGTGTGACGTGACCATTTTGAAACTCTGGCACTGCCCGAGGAGCCCCGATCATTAGATGCCAAAGAGATGCCCGTCTTGTACCTTTTTCATAGGCGTTTTTGAAGTTTTGGGCAAGGACAATCAGTGGCCCACCATGAGTCCCCTAGTTGCCTGGGAGCACCCATGAGTTTTTTCAGTCCGCCCCAGGTCCCCAAACATGGCGGACCTGACCATTTATGGAAACTACGGGGCACTGCCAGAGGCCCACGGATACAGTAGGGGGCCACATGTGACAGCACCCCTGGTACCCTTTTTTCAATAGGCTTTTTTGAGTTTTGGGAAAAGACAACAGGGGCCGCCATGATCCCATATCTGCCTTGGGGCCTCCATGAGTGTGTCCCATTCCGCTCCCTGTTCCCATAACCATTCTCTTTAACTTCAAAATAAAGTGCCACCCCCGCCATCCAAAGACCAACAACTGCCCCAACGGAACCTGGCCTGAATAAAACCCCCCCATGGGATTGACGAAATTACCCACACGAAATACAAGTGAGGCGCGTGAGGGAAGCTCTCTCTCTTCGTCCTTCACCAACAATGCTTGGCGACCCTGCCCCATTCATCTGGACCAAAAGATGGAAAAGAAACCCCACACATCAACCCCCCCAGCTACCAATTCTCAGGGTAACAGCCCATAACCCTTAAAAAACCCTCCTCGTACTTTCTGAACCCTTTTCCTGTCTTTTTTAAAACCACTCTCGCCCTCGGCATGTCTGCCCTGCGCTCTTTTCTTTTCGTTTTCCCTTCGCTACGGCATCTCTTTTTGGTAGACGAGTAGCTGTGATGGTCTGGAAAACCGAAAAAAAAAAAAAAAAAAAAAAAAAAAAAAAAAAAAAAGAGTCAAAGTCCCTCAAGCCGACTTTTTGATGCCAGAAAACACGGTTTTCTTCTACTTGCTTCACATCCCCCTCAAAGCCTTTCCTTATTCTACTGAAAAAATGGGAAATTCCTCTGATAATTATATGGACGTCAAAGGATCGAGGATCAGAAAACCTTCCTCTTTGGGTGTAACAAACACAGGTGGATCACGAAGAGTAAAAACGGGAAAAAGGGAAAATCTAAACGGATAATATTTTTTTTGCTTGTAACAATAAAAATAGGTTTTCAGTCTGAGGCGGGCAATACCCAAAACACCCTTTTAAATAACCCCGTTAGAAAATTACAGGGAATGTAGACAGTTTTCTAGCATAACAATTTTTTCCTAAAGTCTTTCAAAGCTCTGCAAGAGAAAGGGTGCTAATTCCTTGGCGAAATCAGCCTATAAATTTGGGCCCCCAGGGGGGGGGATACCATTTGGCCCTAGGCACCCCCGGGGGGCCCGGGGGGTCTGGGGGGCCCCCATGAGATGCGCTGGTACCTTTAATTGGTTTTTTATAGTTTTTTTTTTTTTTCGTGGGTGAGGACACAGGGGCCCCATGACCCCCCAGAGTTGTCAGCCGCCCCTGGTCTGACTTGACATATGGATTCCTGTTTGGGTTTCCTACGGGGTCCCTTGAATAGGGGCAAAATCCCTACCTTATCCTGTGACTTTTTTTTATACTCCCCAGTTTTGTCCGCCTCTGTGCTGCCGGGGTCTTGTTCTCATGCCACCATTTTTAAAATGTCCATGAACTCCCCCTGGGGTTATGAAGAGTTTGCTTTTCATCCCGTGCCATAAACACTACAGGCATCTTTTGGGAATTTAAAAAAAAACTTCCCATGAGATTCACGAGATTATTTCGTTATGAGATTTCCCAGAAGGAAAATGTTCATGTATGGCTGGGCGATATGAAGACGTGTCAGGAAATGGACTTCCAATAGTGGTGGGACCCCTGCCTTGGGGCTGCAGTACCGGGGGGCCCACGGGTGCTCTCAAAAACCGGGCTCACTCCCTGAAATGAGCCATCCCCTGGGGCTGATGGTGGTGTATTTGGGGGGATGGTAAAGACCTGCAGTCAGTCCTTTTTTGTACTGTTTGCTTGGCCCTGGTTTCCTGATTTGTTTTGTTTTTATTTTTTTTTTTTGTTTGTTTTTTTGTTATCTTTTGTGGTTTGTGGTTTCTGATTTCCCTAGAAGGCAATTGTATTGTTTTTCATGATACAGCTCTTGTGATGTAAGAGAGCATGACGTACACCTTGTGCCATACAACCAAAAAAAAAACTAACAGCTATCTGTTGGAGATAAAAAAAATCCTTCCCCCAAGATTTCATGAGAATTAGTTCAGTTATTGGATTTTCCAGAAGCAGTGTCCCTAAAAAATAACTGCCCTTGGGGCGATATGAGAGCATGACGTCATCGTCGTGACGTACAACACTACAGACATCTGTTGAGGAGAAAAAAGCCTATCTATCTAACGAGATCTCACGAGATTAGTTCAGTTTATGGGATTTCGCCAGAAAGGCAATGTGTCCATGATACTGCGCTTGGACGTTATGAAAAGCCATGAACGTCCATCCTCGTGCCATAACAACACTACAGGTTCAATCTGTTGGAAGGCAAAAAAACCTTGCAACCCCAATCTCATGAGATTAGGTTCAGTTATTTTGGATTTACCAGAGGCAGTGTCTAAAATACTGCCCTTTGGGCGATATGAAAGAGCATTGACGTCATCTCGTGGCCAAACAACACAACAAGGCATTCTGTTGGAGGAAAAAAAACCTTCACCAAAATATCCATGAGAATAGTTTAGTTATGTGGATTTCCCAGAAGGCAATGTCCATGATACTGCGCATGGGGGCAATATGAAGAGCATGACGTCATCTCGTAGCCGTTACAATGCTAACAGGTATCTGTTGGAGATAGAAAAAACCATTCCCCAAGATCACACACCAGATTAGTTTAGTTCTGGGATATCCCAGAAGGCAATGTGTGTTACTACTAACTGCCTGCACCATGCTGCACAACAAAAACCTTCCCCCATGATTAGTCCGGATAGCTAAGCATAACAGAGATGAGTGACTGAGCATCAGAACAGTCGCAGTGTCATTGGACCAGAGCAGGGAGAGACCACGTGCCTACGCCAGAGAGGACAAGAGTCCGCAAGGACCAGAATTAGAGAGGACGGATCCTTTGTGAGAGCCCGTTCATGAAGATCCTAATCATGAGGACCGAGTCACCTTGATCCTCGGTACCTGAAGAACAGCAACCGCCAAGTGACCCTGGACTGGATACCTCTGTACCTAGGAGTGGCGAGCTGAAACCATGTGTGCCTATCTCCAACACAGACACAATTAATGCAATAAGAGACTGCTCCATGCAACTAAAATAGGCAAGCTTCTCATGCTCCACCATACAGAAGGGCCTCTACAACGCAAAGCTGGCTATATACTGACAATTTAGGTGGCCCAGGTAACCTTTGTAAGGTCCTCACCTCCAGGGGTACCTCTTTTGTCCCAGGAATGGCTTACACCCCCTGACTACTGGGGCTGTATGCACACAAAGGACATTTAATTTCTGAATTAAGTTTAATGCCCGATACTTTTAACCCTGTTTTGCACCATTTAAGATTGGGTTTCAGCCATTTCAACAGTTTCAGTTTGACCTGCCATCTTATGGGTCAGATGAAGTCCGGCGTGAAGAAATTTCCTTTTGTCCATATTCGTATGTTGAAGCAATTCCGATTTTGGAATTCGTTTTCGTATCTTCAGCATTTGTCCTCGTGTTATATATATCTTCGTAGGTCTGGGTGGATTTCGAAAAATTTAGCAGTATCATCGAAACTATTCTAAAGGATTCAATATCTTATTCTTGCTAGTCCATGATAACCCACCAAGAGAAATGGCACCCGAGCCTGATTGAATATCGACTCGCATCACATGATCCGACATTGAATTCATTTCCCCAATGGGACTGAACTACTATCGCATCGCAGGTGACACCATCCCAATGAATCCGCGAGAATGCATGAGGGGGGGGGGGAGAATAAGTTTCGTTTTAACTTTTTTTCGAGATTCGTTACACATCCATTTCTATGTCCATTCGAGGAGATTTGTAATACATCCGAATCTCCGAAAAATCGATTTGTAACGAAACTCACATGTCTGCATGGACTGTGGTACCATACTAATGCTTAAGTTGTGAATTCCACTTTTCTTTTCACTAATAAAATTAATGGAATGAACAATCCCAACATAGATCAGACCTCTGTGCCATGTCACTATGTGTTGTCCTGCAGTTCCCTGATATTTTTTGGTGTTTAGATTTGTTGCTGCGTGTCATGTGACACTCTGGATATCATGATAGACCTCTGAATGTCCTTCGCTTCCACCGACACAATGGAATGGACTGCGCTTGGCACTATTCCTCCTAACTGGTCATACCAATGATGGGGCGCTATTCCCCTCCCACTGACACCAATGATGGCGCTATTTCCTCCCCTGCACTATTGAGGCACTATTCCTCCCACTGACACCAATGATGGGGCACTATTCCTCCCCACTGACCACCAATGATGGGGCACTATTCCTCCCACTGATACCCAATGATGGGGCGCTATTCCTCCCACTGAACACCAATGATGGGGGCAACTATTCCTCCCACTGACACCTAATGATGGGGCACTATTCCATCCCACTGACACCAATGATGGGGCACTATTCCTCCCACTGACACCAATGATAGGGGCACTATTCCTCCCACTGAACACCAATGATGGGGCACTATTCCTCCCACTGATACCCATGATGGGGCACTATTCCCTCTCCCACTGACACCGATGATGGGGCACCTATTCCTCCCACTGGACACCGATGATGGAGGGCACTATTCCTCCAACTGACACCAACACGATGGGGCACTATTCCTCCCACTGACACCTATGATGGGGCACTATTCTTCCCCACTGACACCAATGATGGAGCACTATTACCACCCACTGATACCAATGATGGAGGTATTATTCTTCCAATTGACACCAAATGATGGAGCACTATTCCACCCACTGATACCATATGATGGGGGTACTATTCCTCCCACTGATAATACCGAATGATGGTGCACACTATTTGTCCGAATGACACCAACTGATGGGGCACTATTCCCCCCGACTGACACCAATGATGAGACACTCTTCCCACCCACTGACACACCAATGATGGGTCACTATTCCTCCCCACTGACACACATGAATGTGGGGCACTATTCATTCCACTGACACCAATATGGGGCACTATTCTTCTCCCACTCAGACTACCAATGATGGGACCACTAATTCCTCCCACTGACACCATGATGGTGCATTATTCCTCCACTGACACCCAATGATGGGGCACTATTCCTTCCACTGATACCAATGATGGGGCACTATTCCTCCCCACTGAGACACCAATGATGGGCACTATTCCTCCACTGACACCAATGATGAGCACTATTCCTCCCACTTGACAACCCAATGATTGGGGCACTATTCCTCCCACTGGCATCCCAGTGATTGGGGCACAGTGATGGGACCCTCCCACTGACACCAATGATGGAGCACTATTCCTCCCACTGACAACAATGATGGGGCACTATTCCTCACACTCACACCTATGATGGGGTCATTAATTTGTCCCTGATACCAATGATAGGGCACTTATTCCGTCCCACTAACACCAATGATGGGGCACTATTACAACCGTGGTGACAGACTGATGACACACCAGAAATCTTAAGTGACACATAGTTGTGCGCTGGAGCGATTGTGGCGTTTAAAACCAAATCTCACCAAGCTTTCACCCGATCTATAAATTTGCTTTTGTTTAACCTACAGTTCCTCCCTCCATGCTGCCAAACAAGCCTACTTTTGTCACTCTCATCGATACCTTGTCATCCAGTCCTCGCCATCTCTTTTACTACTTTTAACTCTCTACTATTCTCCACCTCCAACTCACAACTCACTGCTTATGAGATTGCAAATCATTTCAAAAACAAGAATGACGCAATTCGTAGGGACATCTCCACTGCACAGACATCCATCCCACTTAGCATACCGCTCTTGTACTTAAAACCTCCCTCAACACTTTCCTCTTCTGACCACTTCCTACTACTGAAGATGGTCACTAAGGTCCTTCTCAGAAGTGTCCGTTCTCACTACCTGCCCCCTGGATCCTGTCCCTACACAACCACTATGGTCATCCTCTTCTTCCATCCTATGCTCCCTCCCTCACTCACATCTTCAATCTCTCCCTCTCTACTGGTGCCATTTCCCCTCCCCTCTAAAGCATGCGCAGTTCCATCCCACCCATACTTAAAAAGCCCTCCTGGACCCCACAAACCTGAACAAACTTAAAACCCATCTCCCTGCTGGCCATTTACCGTCTAGCCTCCTAGAACGCTTAGTCTACAATCAACTGAGCTCCTCCCACCTCACCGACAACAACCTTTCTTCACCCTTTACAAGTCCTGGCTTTTCACTCACTACACTCCACTGAGACTGCCCTACTAAACCTCACTAATGATCTACTAACTGCTAAAAACCCCAATGGCCACTACTCCATACTCATCCCAACCAATGGCCACTACTCCGTACTCAATTCCCAACCAATGGCCAATACTCCGTACTCATCCCAACCAATGGCCACTACGCCGTACTCATCCCAACCAATGGCCTACTCTCCGTACTCATCCCAAGCAATGGCCCACTACTCCGTACTCATCCCAAGCAATGGCCACTACTCCGTACTCATCCCAACCAAATGGCCCGCTACTCCGTACTCATCCCAACCAATGGCCGCTACTCCGTACTCAATCCCAACCAATGGCCGCTACTCCGTAACTCATCTCACCAACCAATGGCCACTACTCCGGACTCATCCCAACCAATGGCCACTACTCCGTACTCATCCCCAACCAATGGAACACTACTCCGTACTCATCCCAACCATGGCCACTACTCCGGACTCATCCCAACCAATGGCCACTACTCCGTACTCACCCCAACCAATGGCCACTACTCCGTACTCACCCCCAACCAATGGCCACTACTCCGTACTCATCCCAACCGATGGTCACTACTCCGTACTCATCCCAACCGATGGCCACTACTCCGTACTCCATCCCAACCAATGGCCACTACTCCGTACTCATGCCCCAACCAATGGCCCACTACTCCGTACTCATCCCAACCAATGGCCACTACTCGTACTCAACCCAACCAATGGCCACTACTCCGTACTCACCCCAACCAATGGCCACTACTCCGTACTCATCCCAACCAATGGCCACTACTCCGTACTCACCCCAACCAATTGGTCACTACTCCGTACTCATCCCAACCAATGCCAATACACTACTCCGTACTCATCCCAACCAATGGTCACTACTCCGTACTCATCCCAACCAATGGCCACTACTCCGTACGCATCCCAACCAATGGCCACTACTCCGTACTCCATCCCAACCAATGGCCACTACTCCGTACTCATCCCAACCAATCCACCACGGGATGGCCGTAACTCATCCCAACCAATGGCCACTACTCCGTACTCATCCCAACCAATGGCACCACTACTCCGTACTCATCCCAACCAATGGCCGCTACTCCGTACTCATCCCAAGCAATGGCCGCTACTCCGTACTCATCCCAACCAATGGCCGCTCTCCGTACTCATCCCAAACCAATGGCCGCTACCTCTACCGTACTCATCCCAACCAATGGCCACTACTCCGTACTCATCCCAACCAATGGCCACTACTCCGGACTCATCCCAACCAATGGCCACTACTCCGTACTCAATCCCAACCAATGGACCACTACTCCGTACTCATCCCAACCAATGGCCACTTAACTACTCCGGACTCATCCCAACCAATGGCCAACTACTCCGTACTCACCCCAACCAATGGCCACTACCCCGTACTCATCCCAACCGATGGCCACTTACTCCGTACTCATCCCAACCGATGGTCCACACTACTCCGTACCCGTACTCATCCCAACCGATGGCACCCACTACTCCGTACTCATCCCAACCAATGGCCACTACTAACGCCGAACTCATCCCAACCAATGGCCACTACTCCGTACTCATCCCAACCAATGGCCACTACTCCGTACTCACCCCAACCAATGGCCACTACTCCGTACTCACCCCAACCAATGGCACACTACTCCGTACTCATCCCAACCAATGGCCACTACTCCGTACTCACCCCAACCAATGGTCACTACTCCGTACTCATCCCAACCAATGGCCACTACTCCGTACTCACCCCAACCAATGGACCACTACTCCGTACTCATCCCAACCAGAATGGCCCACTACTCCGTACTCACCCCAACCAATGGTCACTACTCCGTACTCATCCCAACCAATGGCCACTACTCCGTACTCATCCCAACCAATGGCCACTACTCCGTACTCATCCGCCCCAACCAATGGTCACTACTCCGTACTCATCCCAACCAATGGCCACTACTCCGTACTCATCCCAACCCAATGGTCAATACTCCGTACTCATCCCAACCAATGGCCACTACTCCGTACTCATCCCAACCCAATGGCCACTACCCGTACTCATCCCAACCAATGGCCACTACTCCGTACTCATCCCAACCAATGGCCGCTACTACTTCCGTACATCCCATACCAATGGTCACTACTCCGTACTCATCCCAACCAATGGCCACTACTCCGTACTCATCCCATCCAATGGTCTCTACTCCGTACTCATCCCAACCAATGGCCACTACTTTCCGTACTCATCCTAACCAACGGCCACTAATCCGTACTCATCCCAACCAATGGCCATTACTTTATACTCATCCCAACCAATGGCCACTACTCCGTACTCATCTCACCCAATGACCTCTACTCTGTACTCAATCCCAACCAATGGCCACTACTCCGTACTTATCCCAACCAATGGCCATACTCTGTACTCATTTCAATCAATGGCCACTACTCCGTACTCATCCAACCAATGGCCACTACTCCATACTCATCCTAACCAATGGCCACTACTCCGTACTTATCCCAACCAATGGCCACTACTCCGTACTCATTTCAATCAATGGCCACTACTCGGTACTCATTTCAATCAATGGCCACTACTCCCGTACTCATACCAACCAATGGCCACTACTCCATACTCATCCCAACCAATGGCCACTACTCTGTACTTATCCCAACCAATGGCCACTACTCCGTACTCATTTCAATCAATGGCCACTACTCTACCGTACTCATCCCAACCAATGGCCACTACTCCATACTCATCCAACCAATGGCCACTACTCCATACTCATCCCAACCAATGGCCACTACTCCGTATTCATCCCAACCAATGGCCACTACTCCATACTCTTACTACTTGACCTCTCTGCGGCTTTTGATACTGTTGACCATCCGCTCCTCCTCAAAAAACTCCACTCTCTTGGCCTCCATGACTCTGCTCTCTCCTGGTTCTCCTCCTACCAATCGTCAGCATTACCTATAACTCTGGCTCCTCCACTCCACTCCCTCTTTCTGTAGGGGTCCCTCAAGGTTCTGTCCTTGGACCCCTACTCTTCTCCATCTAAACCTCCTCCCTTGGTCACTTGATAAACTCCCATGGCTTTTTATTATTATTATTATTATACAGTATTTATAAAGCGCCAATAGTTCACTCAGCGCTGTACATTACAAAGGGGGACAGAACATGTGACAGAACAATACCAATACAATGCAAAACATGAGGGGATCGAGGGCCCTGCTCTTTCGAGCTTACAATCTAGAAGGGATGGGATAGTGGTACAGGAGGAGATAGCTGTGGGGGATGGAGTGGTAGGAAGAGTGGAGGAGGTCAGCAAGTTAGCAGGGGGTGAGGTAGGCTTCCCTGAAGAGATGGGTTTTCAGGGTGCGCCTAAAGGAGAGGAGAGTAGGTGATAATCTGATGGTTGGGGCAGGGAGTTCCAGAGGATGGGTGACACCCTGGAGAAGTCCTGGAGGCGGGCATGGGAGGAGGAGACCAGGGAACTAGAGAGAAGGAGGTCTTGTGAGGAGCGGAGTGTGCGTGCTGGGCGGTACTTGGATATTAGGTCAGTGATGTAGTTCGGGGCAGTATGGTGGACAGCTTTGTACGTCAGTGTTAGGATTTTAAATTTGATCCGTTGCGCAATCGGAAGCCAGTGGAGGGATTGGCAGAGGGGGGTGGCGGCGGAAATGGAGCGGTTGGAAAGGTGAATGAGTCTGGCAGCCGTATTCAAGATCAACTGAAGCGGGGATAGCCAGCGGCGAGGCAGGCCAGTGAGGAGGGAGTTGCAGTAGTCGAGTCGTGATATGATGAGGGAGTGGATGAGCTGTTTAGTGGTTTTTCTGGGGTTAGGAACGTGCGGATTTTGGCGATGTTGCGGAGGTGGAGTCTGCACGAGTTTGTTAAAGATTGGACTTGGGGCTGGAAGGATAGGTTGGAGTCCAGAATGACACCAAGTACTCTGGCCTGCAGAGCGGGTTTGATATTGACGTTGTTGGATGTGATGTAAGAAGTCAATGGGGGGTGGGGTTCGGGCTGGGGGGAAGACAAGGAGCTCGGTTTTTGGAGAGATTCAGTTTAAGGAAGTGGAGCGACATCCAATCTGATATGTCGCTCAGTAGGTGTGTGATTTGGGCAGAGACCGAAGGGGTGAGGTGGGGGGTTGAGAGATAGATTTGTGTGTCGTCGGCATAGAGGTGGTAGTTGAAGCCGTGAGAGTGTATGAGTTGGCCAAGGGAGGAGGTGTAGATGGAGAAGAGAAGGGGCCCAAGGACAGAGCCTTGAGGGACCCCAACAGAGAGGGGGAGTGAGGGGGAGGTGGTAGCATTATAGGTAACGCTGAAAGAGCGTTGTGACAGGTAGGATGAGAGCCAGGAGAGAGCAGAATCTCTGAGGCCGAGGGAGTGTAGTATTTTTGAGGAGGAGGGGGTGGTCAACTGTGTCGAAGGCCGCAGAGAGGTCAAGGAGTAGGAGCACTGAAATAGTGGCCATTAGCTTTGGCGGTTAGAAGGTCGTTGGAGAGTTTGAGTAAGGCGGTTTCGGTGGAGTGTAGGGGGCGGAAGCCAGACTGTAGGGGATCGAGGAGGTTGTTGTCGTTGAGGTGAGAGCATAGGCGGGTGTAGACGAGACGCTCGAGGAGTTTAGATGTAAGTGGGGAGCAGGGAGATGGGTCTGAGGTTGTTCGGGTCATTGGGGTCCAGGGAGGGCTTTTTAAGTATGGGGGTGATGTGTGCATGCTTCAGTGGGGAGGGGAAAGTGCCGGAGGAGAGGGAGAGATTAAAGATGTGGGTGAGGGAGCGTAGGATGGAGGGGAGGGAGGTCGTAGGAATTGTGAGGGGATAGGGTCGAGGGGGCAGGTGGTGAGGCGGGGCATCAGAGAGGATCTTGGAGACTTCCTCAATGGTAGTAAGGTCAAAGGTGTGGAGTGTTGGGGGAGCTTCAGTATGAGGAATGTAGGGTGGGGTGGGAGTGGAGGTCAGAGCAGTGGTGGGGCCGTGGGAGAGGGGTGATGAGGGGGTAGCCGAGTGAGGGGGAATGGGGGTCGGAGGGAGTTTGAGCAGTGACGAAGTCCCTGCGGGTAATGTCGAGGGGGGGGGGGGGGATGAGGGGGTAGCTGTGTGAGAGGGGACGGGTTGAGAGGGCGTGTGAGTTGCGGCAATGTCCTTGCGAATTGTGTCAATCTTGTTTTTGAAGTGATTGGCAATCTCAAGGGCAGTGAGTGAAGGTGCTGGGTGGAGGTGGGGGGGGGGGGGAGAGTAGAGAGTTTGAAGGTGGAGAAGAGTCGGCGAGGATTGGAGGAGAGGGCCTTGATGAGGGTCAGGAAGTAGGCTTGTTTGGCTGCGTGGAGGGAGGAGGTGTAGGTGCGGAAGGCAGATTTGTAGCAGGTGAAAGCTTGTTGGGATTTTGTTTTGCGCCATAGTCGCTCCAGGGCACGACTGCGTCGTTTGAGGGTTTTGGTGTGATCAGTCTGCCAGGGCTGGAGCGGTCGGAGTCTGATGTTGCGTGTGGTTAAAGGCGCTAGTGAGTCAAGGGCTGCTGACAGCGCGTTGTTGTTGTAGGCAGTCATAGCCAAGTCGGGGCAGGACAGGGGGAGGATGCGGTCGTGGAGTTGATCAGCTGCAGAGTGGAGGGGGGCAGGGTTAAGGTTGCGGAGGTTACGGCTGGTAGTAGTAGTGTGACATTTGGAGGGGTTTTTGTTGGAGGACGAGGAGATAGAGAAGGTGATCAGGTTGTGGTCAGAGAGAGGGAAGGGGGTAGTGAGTTAGTGAGGTTGTGGGGAGCGCAGCGGTTGGAGAAGACAAGATCAAGGATATTACCGTCGGAGTGGGTGGTGGATTGTATGCACTGTGCAAGTGCAAAGGAGGAGGTTAAGTGGAGGAGACGGGCTGTGTCCGGGTTGTCAAGGTTGACAGGGATGTTGAAATCCCCAAGAATGATGGTGGGTAGCTCAGAGGAGAGGAAGAAGGGTAGCCAGGAGGGAGAAGTCTTCCAGGAAGCGGGGTATGGATCCAGGAGGCCGGTATATCACAGCAATCTTCAGGGGGGTTGGGGAGAATAGTCGGACGCAGTGGGGCCTCGAAGGAGGAGAAGGATAGGGAGGGGGGGTTTTGGGAGGACTCGGAAGGTGCTCCGCGGTGACAGGAGCAGACCAACCCCACCACCTTTACGACCGTTAGGTCTGGGTGAGTGGGTCCAGGTGAGACCTCCATAGGAGAGTGCAGCAGGGGAGGTAGAGTCAGTGGGCTGGATCCAGGTTTCCGTGATCGCCAGGAGGTTGAGGGAGCGGGAAACAAAGAGGTCGTGGATGGCGGTAAGCTTGTTGCACACCGATCGGGGCGTTCAGGAGTGCACATGAAAACGGGGGGGAGATTTTAGGGAGCAGGGGACAGATACTAAGTTGCGGGGGTTGCGGTAGGACATGGCGGCGGGAGGGTGTTGTGCGGGTGAGGGAGGTGGAGGGCCAGGATTCGGGGAGATGTCTCCCGCGGCTAGGAGGAGGAGAAGGGTGAGAAAGGTGGCATGGGAGCGGGATGTGCAGGAGCGTGAGAAACTCCTAGTGGAGGTGTTGGGGTCAGTGGGAGAGTGGAATAATAGGAGGAGGTGGTGGGTGCCAATAGAGGGGCGAAGGAAGCAGTGAGGACACAATATACAAATGTTTAGGAGGAGCAGAGGGATATAGTGAATGGATTTTGGGAATGGAGGAGAGGAAAATGAGAAGGAGTAGAAGAGGCATTGTGGGGGGTGATGAGAGCAGTAGTAGTAGGGAGATGATAGCAATGAGGGGGAGATGTGCAGGTTTTGGGGTGGAGCAGAGGGGTAAAGAAATGAGATTTGGGAACAGAGGATAGTAGTATGAAGAGGAGTGTATTACATAAAGGTACACAGAGTGGGACTCAGGCATGTAAGAGATGTTTCCCGGGGTGTTTGCTTGCAGTCTGTCCAGCATGCAGTAGAGTTTCTTGCTGTTGTTGTGTCTTTCTCCTGCTTTAGTTCAACTGCTGTGTTTAACTGCTTCGCACTCTTTCGAAGCCGCACTCCATCAAAGCAGCAGCACCCCCATCAGAGACTGTGCCCCCCATCAGAGATCTCCCCCATGAGCTGATCTGAATTTATAGGGAGATGCTCAAATGAGCATTCAACTCCACCCCAATTAGTAGCTGATAAGGCTCACATGAATGTTTGGGGATGTCTCATAGGAACCAGGCTACAGTCGTAAACTGGGTGCAACTGAAGGTGAGGACTGCTCAACATACACACAAATATAAAATACATCATTTGTTCTGAATATAACAGGAGTGAAAGCGATTTTTGAGTTAGGAGCAGAGGCAGGAGAGGTGCATTTACCCAGGAGGAAAACAGCAGGAGTCAATGCCATCTCTATGCTGATGACACACAAATCTATCTTTCTACTCCTCACCTCCACCCCTTCAGTTTCCTTTCGCATTACTAACCTACTAAGTGATATATCGGACTGGATGTCACTCCACTTCCTCAAACTCAATCTTTCCAAAACTGACCCCTTGGTATTCCCTCCAGCACGTGCCCCCCCTCCCCCGACTTCTCCATCAAGATCATTTAATATGACCATCAGTTCCTCCCCTCATGCCAAGGTACTAGGTGTAATCCTAGACTCCCATCTGTCCTTTCAGCCCCAAATCCAATCGCTGTTCAAATCTTGTAGACTTCACCTCCGCAACATCTCCAACCTCCAACATCTCCAACCTCCACGACATCTCCGTTCAAGATACGGCCGTTTTTAACCTCGGAAACTACTAAGCAACTTATTCACTCCCTTGTTATCTCTCGCCTTGACTATTGTAACTCCCTCCTCATTGGCCGACCTCATCGCAGGCTATCCCCTCTTCAGTCTATCATGAATACTGCTGCCAGACTCATCCAGCTTACTAACTCTTCTGTATCTGCCACCCCTCTCTGCCAATCCCTCCACTGGCCTCCACTCAGTGTCCTCCACCCCTCTCTGCCAATCCCTCCACTGGCCTCCACTCAGTGTCTTCCACCCCTCTCTGCCAATCCCTCCACTGGCCTCCACTCAGTGTCCTCCATCCCTCTCTGCCAATCCTCCACTGGCCTCCACCCCCCTCTGCCAATTCCCTCCACTGGCCTCCACTCAGTGTCCTCCATACCTCTCTACCAATCCCTCCACTGGCCTCCACTCAGTGTCCTCCATCCCTCTCTGCCAATCCCTCCACCATCCTCCACTCAGTGTCCTGCACCCCTTTCTGCCAATCCCTCCACTGGCTTCCCATTGCCCAATGGATAAAATTCAAAATATTAAAAATCACATATAAAGCCATTTATAGCTCTGCCCCAAAGTACATCACCAATCTTGTCTCCAAATATCACCCAAACCGTCCTCTCCGCTCCTCATACGATCTCCTGCTCTCTAGCTCCCTTGTCTCCTCCTCCCATGATCGCCTCCAGGACTTCTCCAGAGCTTCCCCCATCCTCTGGAACTCTCTACCCCAATTTATCAGACTATCGCCTACTCTGCTCACTTTTAGGCGATCTCTGAAAACATCTCTCTTCAGGGAAGCCTATCCTGCCCTCAGCTAATAATGGAATCTTCTACTCTTCCAACCAGTCCATCCCCCACAGTTATAACCTTTTGTACCTCCAGCCCCTCCCTCTTAGAGTGTAAGCTCCCAGGATCAGGGCCCTCCTAACCCTCTTGTGTTGAACTGTATTGTTGCTGTATTGTCTCCCTTTATATTGTAAAGCGCTGAGCAAACTGTTGGCGCCATAAATCCTGTATAATAATAATAATAATAATAGCTTTTACAGCCTTTATGGGTGTAAAAGCAATCAGTGTAAAAAAAAAAATCTTCATCACCCCCCACAAGTAGTACAGTGTCACTAGGGTGACAGTATGTAAAAAAAAAAACATAAATAATAATATAAAAAAAAAAAAGTCAAAAATGTTTTTGAAAATTATAATTTTTGGTAATAAACTAATTCGTTTTTGTTTTTTTACTAAAAAGATAACGGAATACATTTTGGCCGAGATTTATGATGAAATATTATTTATTTGCAAAATTTTATAAGAAAAACACTTTTTCAAAATTTTTGGACTTTTTCATTTATATAGCAAAAAAAAATAAAACTCCCAGCGGTGAATAAATACCACCAAAATAAAGCTTTATCTGTCTCAAAAAAATGCTAAAAAATTCATATGGGTACAGTGTTGCATGATACCGCGCAATTGTCATTCACAGTGTGATAGCGCTGAAAGGTGAAAATTGGCCTGGACAGGGAGGGGGTAAAAGTGTCCGGACTGGAAGGGGGTGAAAGTGTCTGGACTGGAAGAGGGGAAAGTGTCGGACTGGACTGGAAGGGGGGGAAAGTGTCCGGACTGGAAGGGGGTGAAAGTGTCCGGACTGGAAGGGGGTGAAAGTGTCCGGACTGGAAGGGGGTGACAGCGTCCAGACTGGAAGGGGGGAAAGTGTCCGGACTGGAAGAGGGGAAAGTGTCCGGACTGGAAGAGGGGAAAGTGTCCGGACTGGAAGGGGGGGGGAAAGTGTCCGGACTGGAAGGGGGTGAAAGTGTCCAGACTAGAAGGGGGTGAAAGTGTCCGGACTGGAAGGGGGTGAAAGCGTCCGGACTGGAAGGGGGTGAAAGCGTCCGGACTGGAAGGGGGGGAAAGTGTCCAGACTGGAAGGGAGTGAAAGCGTCCGGACAGGAAGGGAGTGAAAGCGTCCGGACTGGAAGGGGGTGAAAGCGTCCGGACTGGAAAGGGGGGGAAAGTGTCCGGACTGGAAGGGGGTGAAAGTGTCCGGACTGGAAGGGGGTGAAAGTGTCCGAACTGGAAGGGGGGGGGGAAAGTGTCCGGACTGGAAGGGGGGGAAAGCGTCTGGACTGGAAGGGGGGGAAAGTGTCCAGACTGGAAGGGGGTGAAAGTGTCCGGACTGGAAGGGGGTGAAAGTGTCCGGACTGGAAGGGGGGGGGAAAGTGTCCGGACTGGAAGGGGGGGAAAGCGTCTGGACTGGAAGGTGGTGAAAGTGTCCGGACTGGAAGGGGGGAAAGCGTCCGGACTGGAAGGGGGTGAAAGCATCCGGACTGGAAGGGGGGGAGATTGTCCGGACTGGAAGGGGAGGAAAGTGTCTGGACTGGAAGGGGGGGAAAGTGTCTGGACTGGAAGGGGGGGGGGAAAGTGTCCAGACTGGAAGGGGTTGAAAGTGTCCAGACTGGAAGGGGGGGAAAAGTGTCCGGACTGGAAGAGGGTGAAAGTGTCCAGACTGGAAGGGGGGGAAAGTGTCCGGACTGGAAGGGGGGGGAAAGTGTCCAGACTGGCTGGAAGGGGGGGAAAGTGTCCGGACTGGAAGAGGGTAAAAGTGTCCAGACTGGAAGGGGGGGAAAGTGTCCGGACTGGAAGGGGGGGAAAGTGTCCGGACTGGAAGGGGGTGAAAGTGTCCGGACTGGAAGGGGGGGGGGAAGTGTCGGGACTGGAAGGGGGTGAAAAGTGTCTGGACTGGAAGGGGGTGAAAGTGTATGTCTGGACTGGAAGGGGGTGAAAGTGTCCGGACTGGAAGGGGGTGAAAGTGTCCGGATTGGAAGGGGGGAAAAGTGTCCGGACTGGAAGGGGGTGAAAGTGTCCGGACTGAAAGGGGGGGAAAGTGTCCGGACTGGAAGGGGGTGAAAGTGTCCGGACTGGAAGGGGGTGAAAGTGTCCGGACTGGAAGGGGGGGAAAGTGTCCGGACTGGAAGGGGGGGAAAGTGTCCGGACTGGAAGGGGGGGGGAAAGTGTCCGGACTGGAAGGGGGTGAAAGTGTCCGGACTGGAAGGGAGTGAAAGTGTCCGGACTGGAAGGGGGTGAAAGTGTCCGGACTGGAAGGGGGGGGAAAGTGTCCGGACTGGAGGGGGGGGAAGTGTCTGGACTCGAAGTGGTTAAACAAGCTTCAACATGTTTTTTCTGCAGTGATGGAGTCTTGCGTGATGACGTGCATACAGGCCATGGTGGGTGAGTACATTACTTATTGTTTTCTTTGAAACGAATAAACCCGCTAATTCCAGGTCTTTCTGAAGCTCTCCACAAGTGGCTCTTGGACAACTCTTCCGATAATTCTTTTTATTCCTTTGTCAGAAATCTTGGTCGTGGCCGGTTGATGGCGAAATTATGCTCTTTCTGCTTCCAGATTATGGGCCCCAACAGTGCTCACTGGAACATTCAGACGTTTAGGAAATCCTTCCGTAACCAATGCCATCAAAAAGGTTGCAAAGGTCTTGAGACAGCTCTTTGCTTTTACCCATCATGAGATGTTTCTTGTGTGCCACCTTGGTAATGAGACACCTTTTTTTATAGGGGCTGGAGCAAGGAACAGGATTGCTTTTTAACCACTTGCCTACCGGGCACTTATACCCCCTTCCTTACCAGGCCAATTTTCAGCTTTCAGCGCTGCCGCACTTTGATTGACAATTGCGCCGTCATGCAACATTGTACCCATATGAAATTTTGATCATTTTTTTCTCACAAATAGAGCTTTCTTTTGGTGGTATTTAATTGCCACTGGGCGCTTTACTTTTTGCGCTATAAATTAAAAAAAGTGCAAAAAATTTGAAAAAAAAAAAAAAGTTTATTTGTTTCTTTTATAAAATTTTTCAAACAGGTATTTTTTCTTCTTCACTGATTTGCGTTGATGAGGCGGCACTGATGGGCACTGATAGGCGGCACTGATGGGCACTGATAGGCAGCACTAAAGGGCACTGATAGGCAGTACTAATGAGGTGGCACGGATAGGCGGCACTGATAGACAGCACTAATTAGGGGTCACGGATAGGCGGCACTGATATGCAGCACTGATAGGCGGCACTGATAGGTGACACCGATTATGGGTACTGATAGACGGCACTGACTGGCATCACTTCTGGGCACTGATTGGCGGCACTGACTGACACAACCCCTGGGCACTGACTGGTGGCACTGACTGGCAGCACTGCTGGGCTGCACTGGTGGGCGGCACTGGTGGGCACCACTGGTGGGTGGGCACAGGTGGGTGGCACTGGTGGGCACAGGTGGGTGGCACTGGTGGGCACAGGTGGGTGGGCACAGGTGGGGTGGCACTGCTGGCACATGTAGGTGGCACTTCTGGGCACAGGTAGGTGGCACTGCAGAGTGGCACAGGTGGGTGTACTGCTGGGCACAAATGGGGGCACTGCTGGGCACAGGTGGGGGCACTGCTGGGCATGGGTGGGCGGGGCTAGTGGGCGCACTGCTGGGAGGAACTTGCGGGGGTCACTGCTGGGCACCGATCATCAGGGCACTGATCATCAGTGCCCTGATGATCGGTGCCGATCCCCGCTCTGACAACTGCCGGTTCTCGGCAGTACTTTCCTCACGATCTGACAGCGTGAGGAAAGTGCAGCCGAGAACCGGCACTTGCATTTTCCTGTGATCAGCGTGTCATTGGACACCGCTGATCACGTGGTAAAAGGCCGGTGGGATCGGCCTTTCACCACATCTCGTGATCAGCTGTGTCCGTAGGACACAGCGATCACGGAGATCGCCGGGTGCGCGCCCCCTGGGGCGCGCAGGAGAGCGCGTTCTGGGAGGACGTCATATGACGTCCACCCAGAACTAGCCGGCCGCGGTGCAGCCGTCATTCGGCTATGCGCGGTCGGCAAGTGGTTAACGACCGATAGATTTCAGCTGGTGTTTCTGTGCCTTTATGCGCCTTCCATTCTTCACGTGTTCAATATTCTTTCTCTGTATCATTCTATTTTATTATACATAACTTCATTTCTGGACTGATTTGTTTTGGTTTCTTTGTATGTATGGATTGTGTGGGTTGTTACCGACGTGTCAATAGCACCTTTACAAATAAATGTACAGAGAAAAATGTTGATGTGTTCAGTTTTGATCAGTTACATCAGCCATTTGAATCAGTTTTTTTTTATATATATTTGTTCAATAGGCGCACAAAAAAAAATATTTGACCCTGCCAGAAATCTTGTGCTGATCACCTCCTCTTTCTGCTTCTCTTCACCCGACTGTTATCAGTTCCATTGTTCCCAATAATCTCTGTGAACTACAGAACCCAACCCCCTATATAACAGAGAATAGGAGAGGGTGGTGTTCTGTAGCTCTATATTTTTCTCTTTTTTTTTTTGTCCCGATACAAAAGGGTGAGTGAGCGTTGT